TCACCCGTTGTGTAAACACTGTAAGAAACTTGATTACACAAATGACAAGTGTTGAAAACTACATAGAAAACCTATACAATGGAAGCATGGACAAGGAAGGAAAGACCAAGACAGCAAGGTCCATGCTTCTACCTCTTCTTAAGGGTTGGCTGGCCCTAGTCCCTACATCAAGGAACAGTTGGATGTGTTGAAGAAACTTTTTACTAGCACCATTGAGCAGCCAACCAGCTTGAAGACATGCCAAGGTATCAAGTCCTCTTATTTTGCTAACAATGAAAGATTTCGAGCTTGAATAATAGATTCAGGTACTTCTAATCACATGACCGGAGACATTCATGCTCTCATCAACACCAAGAGATCACTGCCTCCAAATTTGTAAGACTTGTCAATGGATCTCACTCCATGATCTTTGGTAAAGGAGAATTGTAAGTCCCCTAATAAATTCATCTTTCCTTTATGTTATGTGTTCGCCACCGAAATTGCAACTTATTTTCAATTAGCAAGCTTACTCAATACTTGAATTATGTTATCAAATTACAATTTATCTCTGGTGAATTTCAAGTGGTGAATACGGGAAATGTGATTGACAGTGTTGAATTACAATGAGAACTATACCTGCTTAAGAAGAGCTATTCACTTAGCACCAAAGTGCTTTTTCCATCATCCTCTTCTCATGTTCCCAAGTCGGTTGTGTTTGAGCTTGTTGACAGTCAGGTTATATTATGTCATTGTTGTATGGGTCATCCCAATTTTTATTATGTTGCAAATTTGTACCTCTATCTCTTTATTAATAACAAGTAATAATTTTATAAATGTCAAATCTGGCAATTAACTAAGCATATTGTCATGTATATCCTCTGTCTCAGTACAAACTCTCACATAATTTTTCTATCATCCACAGTGACATTTGGGGACCATCAAAATTAAAAACTATCAATGGAGCCACATGGTTTGTCTCCTTCATTGATAATCACACTAGAACCAATTCAATAATCTCATGAAGCATAAATCTGAAACTATACAAATCTTTCAGTACTTCTATGATATGATTTACACTCGGTTCCAGTGTAAAATTCAGATTCTCAAAACTAATAATGCAAAGAAATACTTCAACTCAATCGTCAGATCCTACCTTACAAATAATGGAATCATCCATTTGAATTCCTATGCTGAAACTCCACAACAAAATGAGATAATTAAAATAAAGAATAAATAACTCCTTGATGTATTTAGGTCTATAATATTTTCTTCCGATGTCTCAAAAACTTTTTAGGTAAATACAATGCTCACAGGCACCTACATCATTAATAGAATGTCAAGCAGCGTCCTTAGATTCAAAGCCCCTCTCGATATTTTGTTGGACACATAAGCTCATGTTACAGTTTTCTTACCCAAACTTCCTCTAAAAATATTTGATTCTCTTTTGTTCATATTCATCAACCAAATTACACAATGTTTGACTCAAATCCATCAAATGTATCTTCCTCGATTATGCTTCTAACAAGAAGGGTAAGAAAGCTATAATCATTGTCTACGTAGTTGATATGATCCTGACAGCAGATGATAAAAAAGAGATTAGGAAGGTTAAAGAAGTTATTTCCATTGAATTTGATATCAAGAATCAAGGAGCTATGAGTTACTTTCTAGGGATGAAAGTTGTCGAGTCCAAAAAGGGAATTGTGATATCCCAAATAAAGTACATCCTAGACCAACCAAAGAGATAGGAATGATAGGGTGTAAACATGTAGAGACACCTATGGATTTCAACAAAATGTTAAACTTACAGGGAAAAACAACCCCACAAATGGAAAAAACGTAGATATTATAGATTGATGACAAAGCTTATCTACCTGTCACACACTAGACCTGATATCGCTTGTTATGTCAGCATTGTGAGTCAACATATAAATAGTCTAAATGAATAATATTCGAAGATAGTTTACATATAATTGAGGTTTCATTATTTAAGAAACCAGACAGATAGAAGTTTATATTGATGCTAGTTGGGTAGGATAACTCATAGACAGAAGATCCACATTTGGGTGTTGTTCCTATACAACAACAACAACAACAACAACAAAGCCTTAATCCCACTATGTGGGGTCGGCTACATGAATCCTTTTTCTCCATTGCGTCCTATTTAATATCATATTTTCATTTAGTTCTAGTAAATTAAGATCATTTTTAATACAATAAACCCAAGTCTTCCTAGGTCTACCTCTGCTTTTCTTAACACAAGTCGAATTTAAAACATCTACTCTCCTAATCGGATCATCTAATGGTCGACGTTTAATATGACCAAACCATCTAAGACGACTTTCTCTAATTTTGTCTGTCACAGGAGCTACACCAACCCTATCACGAATATATTCATTCCGCATTTTGTCTCTAAGTGTAAAGCCACTCATCCACCTAATCATTCTCATCTCGGCAACACTTAACTTATTATTATGCTTCTCTTTTAAAGGCCAACATTCAGCGCCATAGAGCATTGCAGGTCTCACCACCATCTTATAAAATTTTCCTTTCAGTCTTAGCGGTACTTTTCTATCACACAAAAGGCCCGAAGCATTCCTCCACTTCAACCAACCAACTTGAATTCTACTATTAACATCCCCAAGTCACACTTCTATCACTAAAACTATTACTACTTAAATTACATTCCATGTATTCAGTTTTAGTTCTACTTAAACGAAGGCCTTTAGACTCCAATGTAGACCTCCATAATTCAAGTTTTTCCTGGGCTTTTTCTCTCGTTTTATCCACGAGAAGAATATCATCAGCAAAAAGCATACACCAAGGTACATCCTCTTGTAGATGTCCAGTAAGACCATCCATAATTAAAGCAAAAAGATATGGGCTTAAAGTCGATAAATCTTGTCAGATGGATGATTAATTCAATGTACATCCTCTTGGGTGTTGTTCCTATATATACGAAAATCTTGTCAGATGGATGAGCAATAAGCAAGGAATGGTCTCCAAAAATAGTGCAAAATTTGAGAATTAGGCAGTTGCTTTGAGAATTTGAGAAGGAATGTAGATCCAAAAATTACTAATAAGTTGAGATGCTCAAAAGTTAATCCCATTAAGATGTTTTGTAACAAAAAATTGGCTATTAGTATTACAAAGAACCCTGTGCATCATGACAAGACCAAACACAATGAGATTGATAGACATTTTATCTCTAAAAAGATCAATGGTGACATTATACACTTAATCTACATTCCAACTCATCTTCAAGTCATTGATTGTTTCGCTAAATCCCTACCTCCATGCAACTTCAACGATTTAAATACCAAATTGAGTTTTTACAACATCTATGACCGAGCTTGAGAGAGAGTGTGGTATTCCGTCCCTATTAAGTGGCCCAAACGCCGACCATATGGGACCCACAGGTTCACTCTGTGAATGCTATTGGAGGGAATTTCCTACTTCAAATTTATTATTTTTTATTCTTTTCTTATCATGTTGTATCTCTTTCCTTCTTTGTTTGTTTTTATATTTGGTAAATTATAAGTCTTTATTATACTTGCCCCAATCACCCCCATATAATAATGGGAAAGGTTGTAACTTGTGGAGGGGAATAAGAGAGAATCACTTCTCTAACTTTCTTAAGTTCATTTAAACTTTTTTCTTAAAGTAGTAGTAGTTCATATGATCACAATATTGAATGTCTTTCACCAATCATATATATAATTTAGAAACATAATGAAAAATCCTTTATCTCATGAACATTAGTTGGTACAGTCAAATTATTAATTACTTTAAATTTATCATAATCAACAAAAAATCTATGAGTAAATGCAATAAATCACAAAAGATGTAAATAATATCATAAAACATCACTTCTTCATATTTTAATGTAACTTTTCTATATATAAAAGTCCAAAGCTTTCAAAACATGCATAGAATATTCACCACTTACTTTAAAATATGTCAAAATATCATCAATGTATATAACTAGAAATTCCCGAGAAAGAACAAAAACATGATGCATGACTCTTATTAGCGGTGATGTTGTCAACGTTTGAGTGAGTTAAGCTCAACTCAAAATTAATGCTCACTCCAAAATTGAAATCACTTCAAGTAGGCTAGACTAAACTCTCTAATTACAAGTTAGCACAATACTATAGTCTAATTACATAACTATTATTTAAAACAAGCATTGTCATTTGAGATTGACAACCCAAGTTTTTTTTCTTTAACAAACAAATCATGATGCTTTGGTATCATTGTATCAACCAAAAAATAAACTGCAGCAAACCCATATAAAGGAAGATCAAACCGTAAAAATTTAATACCATACACATCAGGTAGTTATCTTGCAATTTATTTCTATGGTAACAAAGGTAGATTCAAACTTAATGTCAAATGACAAAGATCCATTTTATGACCCAAAAGAAAAACGCTAGCAACTAGAGTTGTATTTTATTGAGCAGTAAATGTTCACAGAAAATGTAGCATGAATACTTACAAGCAATATTCTGTTCCTGTTTTTATTCGTGAATTTGTGTGCTTGAATGTTCTAGCGAGTACATTTTCAAAGGACACCGTAACTCAACTCCAACTCTTCTTCATGACATCTCTAGTTAGCCTTGCTCAACTCTATCCTTTGCTTAGTGTATAGTCCTAAACATTTTAATTTTTATGGTATGGTCTCGTAATTTGCATTTTTATTCTGTTCCGAATTCAGTTGCTTGAAACAAGTATTTTATTATCTTAGTCATGTGAAAAACATGATAAAAAACGATTTTGTTGATTATGCGCAACACAAAAGATTTTTTTATGAGATCACCATTCATCATGCCACAGAGCATAACAAAATTAAATATAAATAATCATTACAACTTTGGCATGGCATTTTAATACTTATTAAAGGTATTTATGCCACCATTTTGGTATCACATAAAAAGAAAAAAAAACAACCATAAACTTTCATAAATTACAAAGTTTTGCATCAAGAAGATTTTAAAACATGTATGATGAAGTTCAGAACGTACTTTCTCTTTCTGCGATCCACCATGTTGTTTCGCATGTCAACTTTGGGAGGAGCAGATCCAGGTTGTCCAACAACTTGCATTGGGGGGAGGGTTGGTGCAGAAGCAGCAGGCATGGGGGGCACTGGAGCGGGTGGAGTTGGGGGTGGAGCAGCAGCAGCTGGCTCAGGGAGAGGACGAGGTGTAATGTGCTTTAATCTATTGTTCCTATAATTCTTCCAGAAGAAGTATTGTTGTTTGTGGGCCAACTCCTAAAAAAATCATGAAGAGGAATGTCAAAATGATTCTCAAGCGAAAATCACGGTAAAATGCCCTTCATTAAAGTTAAAACGCCAAAGTAATGACTTCAAGATTGAATTAAAGTTAAATCACAGAATTTATGACTTCAAGCTTTAAAATAGAGGACTGCCAAAAAATCATATTGCTTATAAGTTCACAAAGTTGTTTGTCGCAGAATTCCCAGATATGGAATATGGAGTACCTATTCAACACATAGGTCAACAACTCAACTAAACATGAGAAAAAATAAAAATGAAAAAAAAAAGTAAAAACTTGAAAATCAACAAAGTACAATACTAATCAATAAAAACTTCTCCAATATTCGCCGATGTACACCACATTAGAATCAGCGGAAAAAGGAGTAATGGAGGTCATGCCAATACTTTCTTTTAATTTTAAACCATTCAATGATTGCATATTACGAGGTTGTCTAGTAGGATGGAAATATCTTAAGATCTGTCAGGCATCCATTTTCTTATTGTTAATTTATTGACTCAATATAGCTAAGGAAAAAAATGCTAGGGAATATTTCCTTTTGAGGAATGGCAGCTATGTACGTAAGATCTCTCAGCTAGGGTTTTTCGAGATTGAACTCTCTCATTCTCAGTTTTTATTCATCTTGGCAGCAAGGGTTTCTTTAAGACTTGGAAGCTTCAACTTACAAACTCCACTAGAGTCTGATGGTGCATACAAGAAGAGAATCTTTGTGAGGTAGAATTATTGTGAAAGTCTCTTTGATTTAGAGCATGTGTATTTAGGCTTTGGGAATGGATAGCGAGTGATACTTTATTGCATACACCAAATTTCCGACATCTTCGATGGTAGATCGGATTCTCTCTCATCTCCTAGAGATGTGGGCTTTATTCAAGTTGAAGCACGTAAAAATTGATGTTTTTCTAACCTTGCGCATTGCTTCATCTCTTTCATGAGTTTACATTGTAGTGAATTGTACTTCACTCTAGTGATACTTCTGCAATGAGTATTGGAGTTCTTATCATAACAATTTGATAGCATAGTTTGGAGTATAATGGCTATAAAATTCAAGGTCGAGAAATTTCATAGGTCAAAGAGTTATGCCCTTTAGAGAATCAGGTTGTGAGTAGGGCTGTCAAAAAAGCTCGTTGTTCGTGAACAACTCGTGTTCGGCTCGTTCGTTAAGTAAACGAGTCAAACACAAACAAGTTCTTAAAGCTTAAATTATAAACGAGCCAAACACGAACAGCTCTTTGTTTGCTAGTGTTCGGCTCGTTTTAGCTCAAAATAAAAAAAATATATATATTATTTATATAATAATATATTATATAGATTTATATCTAAGTTTAAAATATAACTGCTCGAAGTTTAAAATGTAACTGCTCGTTTGGTAATGTGATTATGCGCTTTCTTTTGTATTCAATTGGTCCAGGTTCGAATCCAATACTTTACATTTACTTTTTCAGTTTAATTTTAACGAGCTAATTTCGAGTCGAACACGAGCCAAACACGAACACGAATATTTAAATAGAGCCGAACATGAACACACTGTTCACGAGCCGATTTCGAACACAAACAATTTCGAACGAGCCGAACACGAGCCCCGCCTGAGCTCACTAAGCTCGACTCATTTACAACCCTAGTTGTGGGGTCTTCTAATTTGACATGAAATTATGAAAGCACTCATTGGGCATTCGAATATGCCAGTAACAACAATTAAAGAAGAAAAGGCAGAGACGGATGAAACAGATCTTTTTCAATACAGTTGTGTTTGGTGGGAGGAGGTATCAACAAAGATCTTGGACAAAGCAAAGTGTAAAACTATTAATTCACATTTGAATGGGCTTAATTATAGTGCTCGTGATATAAGGAATACTGATATGATTGTAGATGATGAAGATCAAGCTTTGTTATTAATGATGTATTTACCTCACTCATATAAGCATTTTCATGAAAACATGTTGCGAGGGGACGGGGCGCACTAGGAGCAAGCAATTAAAAGCCAAGAAAAATAATATCAGCATATGCAAATGCAACATGGTCTACTGTTGATTATGATAATATTCTTTCTATGATAGCAAAATCTAAGTGAAGGGATCAGTGAGTTCTTGAATTAGCTTGTTCATATTATGTCTCGTGATGAATAGTTCCATACAAGTGTGCGTGTGTTTTGTAGAACTATTGGTCGTGGAAGTAAAGGTTGGAGGACACATGATAGTGCAATTAAGAACTTTTCAAGTGGTTAGGCTTGTACCCAATCTGAAAATGAAATTCATATTTTTAAGTGATTTAAGTGATGCAAATACATATATTCTTGTGGAACTCAGTTCCTTAATGTTTGCAGTAGCATTTTGATTGTCATGATAACTAAGTGTTGCAAAATGAAAATTTGACAGCCACTTACGTTATGTTTTCACCTTCGTCGGAGCATCGCATTTTGGGTAAGTAGAAAAAGGTGAACTTCCTGGTTGTAGAACAAAAGTTGTAGCAAAGTCGAACATGGGATGATAGAATTACATTAAAAGGAAGATCAAATAGAATATACTTACTTTACAATCTACCTTGGTGTCAAGTCTGAATTCAGTGAAAGAAAATAACAACTTACAATGTACAAAATTCAATATCATGCAAAATTTCAAAGGACTCTCTTCAACATTCAATTCTAGGAGTTATCTGAGTCGCATGGGATTGTGTTGTGCTAAACCCATCGGGGTTTGTAAACTTAAAGTGCTCGGCTTGGAGATGAGTCATAAAAGATATTCAAATTTTTCCACAATAAAGCCAAAGGTAGAATTGTTAATTTATCACATCAATATAGTTATGAGTGTTAAAACCTATATATGCAGGATCTCCTAGCTAGGCATGGGTAGTGCATATGAGAAAAGCATCTTTGTTAGGCAAAACGATTATGAGGGTTTCTTTGAGCTTCTTTTTCGATTGAGTGAGTGTACTTGGACTTTGAAAAGGACTGAGAAGTATTCATTTCTTATGTAAACCAATTTTGTGGTTTCTTTGATAATGGAATGGAAACTATCTTCTCTCGCTAACAAAAGCTATGTTCAAGGTGAAATACATAGATATTAGTGACTCGCTCTTTTTGTTGTTTAAGCTCTTTTGTTTTATACTTTGTGAAATACCATACTTTAAAACTGATGAAATTTGAGCGTTAACTGATGACATTTTCATTAAAATATTCATATTGGTACATACACAAAACTTATGGACAATATAATTCCAATATGACCATCAGCCAATTAACTATCAGCCAACTCAAAATAATTCAGATATGACTAACGTTGATAAAGATAGCAATCTACTATATACTACATGATATTAATATCTTTAGTGCATTTCATTCAACTTTGTCTACGCAACTTAACATCATTGAGCATCTCTGGCAAACAACCTAGAATACGGTACCTTGGTGGATATCATTCCACTTTGGCCGCACAGTTCAACGTCGTGGATTATCTCTAGTAGACAATCTGGGACGGGTCTATTATCCTATGTGAATTTCATTCAACTTTCTCCACACGGGTTAACATCATCAAGCATATTCGGCGAACAACCTAGGACAGGTTAATGTCATTTAGGCAACTCCAACAAACAGCCTTAAATCAAACTTAAATTTTTTTTTATAACACTCAACTCCTCGGTCTACACAAATTAAGTAACATTCCAACATGAGGTTACGTTGCAACATAAGAAATGAAATAATATTCAGAATCACAAAAAGTGCACTATAAGCAAAATATGATTAATTACAAACACATGAAGTCACACTATAAGAAATAATAAATGCTACATCAAGCAAACGAAAACCTTTAAAAACAAACACATTATTGTAAAGTACAAATGCTACATCAAGCAAATGAAAAGCTTTAAATAAAATACACTGTTAGGAAATGCAAAAGTTAAAACAAATAAGCAAAAGCAAAACACTAGTCAATATCAGCATCTTCCTCCCTCTTGTCAAGGGTGTGTTCCTTCAAATCACTCAACTCGTTCACATTTCGAATAAGAAGAGAGATCTTTAGATGTCTGATTGGGAGATAGGCCCTCGATGAACGACCCTTGATCCAACACCAATATCAATATCTTTCCCTTACTTCAATCTCTTATTCTCCTATTCATGGGCAAACAACTTTACTTTTAAAACCTTCACTTTGGGTATTTTAACTAAGACCAGCTCTCGTCTCCGCGAGCTCTTCTCGAGTTTTCTTCAGATCCCGATGCTACAAAGAGAAGGAAGTCATCATAGTAGATATCTCGATTCTACACTCTGCAATTGGCTTTCTAAGCCTGCAACATCCTCAAAATTAAAATTATATATATGCTTTGATTTTCACAAATTCTAAATTTTACACTTTTAGGGTAAGATTCAGCTCCATATCAACACTCATCATTTTATCATCTGTAATAAACAATTTTATAATTGATAAGTGAAAGCAACATAAAAAAAATTATGTATAGAGAGACAAAAATTCTTCAGGTCGTTGAAGTCTAGTACAGAAGCGATTCAATACCTCCAAAATATAAATTTTTGAAATGCCAGCCCAACGATTTTTATTCACTCAATCATTTTCTTACTTTTCTTTGGAGGATAAATTTCACAATCACTATCCTCGAAGGGTCGCTTTCAAGGGGGCAGTAGAAGCTGATTCAAGATGCGTTTTTTCAGACTTCTTCAACATCGTAGCGTGAAATCACCCAAGATGAATATAAAGACCTGTTTTGAATAAAAATTCTTCACTCAATTTTTGACATATTGTACTTCGAACTGTAGATTTTTAATATTCCAAAAATCAAACATTATTAGTACATCATCTAGCATGATATGAAGGGTGATAGGAAGTCCTTATAGTTTTCTTCGACTCCCATGAAGGTCTTGTTCATTTTTCAAAAAGATAAATTTGGCAGACCATCTTTCTTAATGGTTACTTCATTCAAAGATCTAGTAATTTGTTTCTGAAAAATATTCAACCAAGCACATCACTGA